ATGATACTGTCAATATAGTGCTCTCCAATAAACCCCGTTACCAGAAGAGCACTCTTTCTTCATAGTACTTTGGTAAATGGCTATTATCATTCTAAATTAGTAACTTTAAAAGCTCAAGGTAGCATGTTTCTGCTGCTAGAACAGGAAGCCAGTTAGCAAGAATGCAACTCCCAATGTCAGCTGGCTGTGTCAGATGGTAATTGCTTTGTATACCCACATTCTCTCTCTAAGCCCTGGTTGAGAACTGCAAGTGTAGTTAGCAATAAGTATTCCAGGTGGCAGGAAGGAATGCTTTTCTGAATTGCCGGAGTAACTAAAGGGACATATAAAGGAGAAGGATTAAGAGAATGGGATGGAGCTGGCAGTTGTGAGCAGTAAGAAAATGCTCAGCCTCAGTCTGGTTTCATCACCTCATAGTGAAGGGCATTTTTATCCTCCTCTACAGCAGGTTTTCTCAGAAGTGAACACCACTGAATTCAGTAGCACAATACTAGGTATGTGTAGGATAGCAACATGCATATCCCTCCAAGTGTAGAGAAGGAAATAGGAGTGGCAAAGATTTTTATGGCCTCCATGATGACTATGGGCCTATCTCAAGTGATTACTGGCACCACACATTTAGCAGGGTTTGCATTGGATTTGGTCCATTACAGTGCTGGGGAAGCTGATCTGGAGTTCAGGGAGTTAAAGCTTACTCCCTTGTCATAGAGAGTGTGCCTGGCCCCCACATTGTTGATCTTCAGGAGGCAGTTGAAGATGGTTTTATTTAGGACTGCATTTTGATTGATTTATTGTTTATTCCCCCCCCCCCAAGTTAGAAATAATGAGGCAGACACAATTGTTAAGTTTAACTATAGGGCCACTTTATTATCTGACAACTTTAACTGGAACCAACGGTAAGGGCAACAGCTTGTGGTAGGGTCAAGGCCAGAGGTCAATGTCCCCTCCCTTACCTCTTCAATAGGGCGAGCCACCCTGCCCCGGGTGGGAGCCCACCACAGGTGCTCCCACCCGGCCGGCTAGCCACTGCAAGACAACCCTGTAGCACCATCCCCCGAACCACAAGGTTCAAAGAGAGGATCTAAACAGGACCATGCTGAAGGCAGTCGGTTTTCCCCACCCCGTGCCACAAGGCACAAAGACTGTACTCACAGGACCCCTTCAACTCCAAATAATGGGTGTCAGCTGGTGCTCACCAGACCACAATCTGTATACCGCATAGCCACCTGCCTCAACGAAAGTAACTGAATTAACTAACACAACTCACCCTTATAAACACCTGCACCACTGCTGTAGTGCAGGGTAGGCGAAAACACCCCCTCCAAGTGCCAATCAGGAAGGGGCAAAACATTCCTACCCAGCCCCAAAAACCAGGCGACCAGCAAACACCTGCACTACTAACAGGATGGGGCGACGACCGCATGGGACTGCTGAGGAGGAGAGGCGGGGCCGGGGTTTTAAGCCCTCTCGGCCCCACCCCCTCTTAATGCCAGTGTGTGGCGCTTTTGGCGCCTATACCCCGCCTGCCTCTTCCGGCTGGGAGGAAAAGGCGCTTCTTCAACCCAATAGCCGGAACAGCTGTGGGCTGTTTGAACTGTATTTTGGCAGTCCTAATCGGAGTTTTTAAACTGTGACTTCTGTGGGTTTTGTAATAGTTGTTTTTATTGTGGTTTTATAATAATGTTTTATTAAAATTGTAAATCTCCTTGGGTTCCACAAGGAGAAAGGAAGCTAATAAATATTTTAAACAAATAAATAGCAATACTCACGGGGGAAAGGAATAAAGAAGTGGGCATGCAGACCATAAACATACTGTAAGGACATGGCGATAACATGCTTTCCAGTAAGACTAGGTGAGAGAATTAAAGCCCGTCCTGAGAAATGGAACTGGCATCCACAGACAGACAGACAGACAGTTGTTAAGGAATGAACTTGATATTTGCTTTATGGACTATGTTTATAGCTACACACACAATGGACTGTGCAGACACACACACACACACATAGGCTCAGAAAGCTGTACAAGTCACCTGTTGTGATACTACACATAGAAGATGCCTGCATAAGCCTTACACGTGAATGAGGTTTCAGCTACCCAGCATTAGCCTGGTGAAGGAGCACACATCTCCATCGTTGTCAGCAAAACAACAACTTGAGCAGCTATTTAAATACATCATTATGAGTTATGTCAACATATTTTTGCACTACTGAATTTTTTCTAGCACAGGAATTATTCATTTATGAACTCCCTGATTACAGCAGATACAACATTACAAGTTATTTCAACAAGTCTTCACAAGTTAAGTTGATTGTTTCACAGCTGAGCAAATGGGGAGGAGGAGGAAGAGGACATTTCAGTGCCAGCAGTCACGTAAATATTCCTTAAAGGAATGTGATAAGTGAAGATTTACAGACATGCAGGTTTTTGAAGCATACTGAGATGCAGGGAACCCATTTAGGCAGTCATTTTTTTTTGCAGGAACAGGTATTTTTAAGAGAATCCAAATCTAAAGAACTTTATAACCTGTCCCACCATCAGAGCATAACATTCCAAGTTCTTCTGTATCATTATCTCTTCCCCCCTTTATTCCTTGGCACTGCTCTAAATTAGAACTTTTCTAAGTGGAATTAGAATCCCTGTATTTGGCTAGGTTCCGAAGAATTACTTTAGGCACACCCGAGGGCCTATTCAAATCCACTGGAATTTGTTTCTTTGAGCAGCTGATTCCCATGGCATATTGCTTAGTTTCCTTAGTTGCACAAGTATTATGCTTTTTGGTACGAGCAGCTGGTCCTTGGGGCATAGAACAAGATGTATGTTTCTCTATAACATGACCTTGTGTTTTTGGTTATATGAGAACATAAGAGATGCCAATGTTGGATCAGGCCAAAGGCCCATCCAGTCCAACACTCTGTATCACACAGTGGCCAGAAATACCAGTGCCATCAGGAGGTCCACCAGTGGGACCAGGACATTAGAAGCCCTCCCACTGTTGACCCCCCCCCCAAGCACCAAGATGACAGAGCATCACTTGCCCCAGAGCCCCTATCTATACCTTGTGGCTAATAGTCACTGATGGACCTCTGCTTGATTGAATGTGTGAGTGCATCAGTATTGTTTGTATGTGATATATTTTCTTAAGTAAAAGACATTTATTTTAACAACACCAGCCTCGAACTCCTTCTCTGGTAACCCGTTGGTGGGAACAGGACCTTGGTATAGTTGGCAAGCACCCAGATTTAAATTTGCAAATTGCTGTAGATAAAGCTTGATTGAATTTATCCTGAATGTACAGGAGAGGGTCATTCTCCTTGCAGGAAGTGGTAGGTGTTGGTTAGATTCCATATAACTACCTGCAATCCTTGGTGCCATACCTACACTACCAAAGACTGCAGTATCACTTTTGACCACTCGGCCTGGTGAGTAGCCTGCTATCCTCCATCAGCAGCAACATTCCCTTGCCAACTATTATGACCCCACCTCTCAAATGAGTAATGAAACAGCCTGATTCTACCAAGTAACATATCCCAATCAAAGCCTCAGCGTAGGTGAAAGAACTACTGACAGTCACTCAAAGCTAGTGTAAAAACTTCTGTTACATCCCTTTTAATTGACAAGGAGCTACAGCCAGACTTCATTTATGTGAGGAGTATGATAAACTGTAGTCATTCCCACCTTGACAAATCTCAGTTTAATGACAGCTTGTTGTGATGCCTGAACATAAATTCTCTTTGATGCTCTTTATCCTTACTGCTTATTCTTTCACCTAGAGACATTAGGAGGGCACTAGAAATGTTTCTGCTTGCCTCCATAGAAAGACTATAATGTTTGAAAGCCACTCATCCTTTGGATCATTCCAAGTACATGGAGGCTCACTTTACTCTGTGGTACTGGAGGGTATCCATGGGGCAATCCATAGGGACAGCTTTTTCAAGAGTTATCATTTGCATCTAGAGTACTGCTACATATGTCCTAATTGTGCCATAGGGATTCCGTGCCCTTCTTTCCAACCTGCACAGGTGGGAGAGATGTTAGAAATCAGCAGGCTCTCCTTGCATGAGCAGAAACACATTCTGTGGATAGTGGGGACTCATTGAATCCGAGCCTATATTACTATGCAGAGGGTCTCAAGCTGCCTCCTATCTGAGAACCATAAAATACAAAAGTCAGCATGGCAGCAGTTCTTTGTTAGGGGATAGCAGTTTTGTAGGAGCATCAGATGGGGGGGGTCTTTCGAATAGGTGTGTTGCTGCTTATTCATTTGCTCCTGGAGCATAAAATAGTGAAAGAAAGAGCATTTGATACTGAGAAAGAAATGTGGGCTTGATTAATCATTTGGGAGCCCTTAATGCTGCAGAACTGCTGGCATAAAACAAGTGTTTGCACTAGAAGAGTCCCTTAGATAGGCAACTGCCAGTGGTCCACATAAATGCAGAATATTAATTTTGTTTTAAAAAATTAAAAACATAAAATCCAAAGAAAGGAAGAAGAGCTAGAAAACAAGCGAGGTATACTGGCAAGCCTGGATTCCAGCAGATTTGACCTAGATATAATGCACTGGTAGATGAGAACATTTCTCCTTATTTTATGACAGGAAACCTGGGATTTCAATTAAGGATATGTATGACAATGAGCAACAGCTGCTATGTCTAGAAGTTGTTAGATCTTGCATAATCAAGGGAGCAGAAGAATATTATTTTATTGTTCTGTTTGGGAATTCAAATGATGAAATCATGTACTGATTTTATACATTTTCCCCAGGAACATATAGCTAAATGACACATATTTCAGATATTAACATATACCAGGCTTTCTGCAGGCCAGAGAATCCAACCATGCCAGAGTGAAAGGGCGACTATAAATAATTCAAAATAATTATATATTTTTGACAGTTTGTCAGCTTACTGGATATCTTTTGTGCAAGATAACAGATGATATGTCTTTGAAAAAGTGTTAGCAATTTCTCAGTGCAGTCTGTTGTGTGTTGTCTCTTTTACAGAGTCCAGTCAGGATCCTATCTCAGCACTGGCTGGTTTACCTTAATACTGGCTATGGACGCTTGCTACAGAATACACGTCTATGGGATGATAAATGACACCTACTGCAAGTAAGATCACAGAAAATTATTTTCATGCATCTACAATTCTGATGCCTTGTCAAAATTTCACAATTCATTTTAATGCCATAAATCCAAGATATGGATTAGGCAGGCTTTCCCTGGCATTCTGTATTGATGTTGCACTTTATTGTCAGTGTATTTAGTCCCCATATGGCATGTGGTATTGATTAAATAAAAGCATTTACAAAAGTTTAATGTCAAATGTCATAAAGAACTTTTTAAATCAAGGGTGTTCTGCCGAGTTGGAATGAAACTAGAAGTGAAAGCACTTCCATTTGCTTTTGCACTTTGTAGCCTATAAGAGTTGAGACAGTGTATAGGAAGTACACTTGTATTTGTCAAGCACTCCCCACTTCTCAAAGTAGTGCCAAGTCCCAGGCATAGTGCAAGATGGGTGGGATTTCTTATGTACAAAATGGCACTGGAGACTTACGGCTTTTTTTTTTTTGCTATATCTGCTTTGTTTAAAAATGTACAAACAGAACAAAAGAGGAGGCAAAGAAGCATACTGACAAGACAGTAGAAGTGCTATCCCATATCAGATACCCAGAGACTTGTGCCTCAAGGTACTTTACTTTCAGCCAGCGAGAAGCATCTCTGTGTGTGTCCTGAACTGAAATGGGTTCATTTACATAACTCCCTACATCTCCTTCAGCTGGTTGTGTCATGTCTTCCAAGCTCTGATAGGTATTTAAATAGAACTATTAGGAGATTTTTCTCCTAAGAGTTAAGAAGAGAAGAAGAGATTGGATTTATACCCTGCCCTTCACTACCTGAAGGAGTCTCAGAGCACCTTAGCTTGTATGGGAAATTACAGCTGTTTCTATACAAATGCTGGAAGTGTCCGAGGTAAAATCGGGGAGTTGGAGTGCTTGGTGTTGGAGGGAAAAATAGACATTGTGGGTATTTCAGAAACTTGGTGGGATGAGGAAAATCAGTGATTCCCGGTTATAGATTATATCGGAAGGATAGGGGGGAAGGGTTGGAGGTGGGGTGGCTCTGTATATCAGAGAGGGTATAAAATCCAGAAAGATTGAGAGGCTAACAGAATTGGATTCACTTCTGGAAGTTCTATGGGTTAAAATAGGGGGCCAAGACAGCGAACTTCCGGTTGATGGCGGCGTGCTAGCAGACTCACCTCCCGGACCTCCCGGGGGTGAAGCTGTGCTCCAGCAAAAGGAGGGGGTGCGCAGGATCGTCATCCCCCCAGGGACGCGGTTGAAGGGGCTCTGGCCATGAGACCCTCGAGAGGTTGCCTCTTTGCCGGCGCGATGCCGGAGAATTGAGGCACTTCTCCGTCCCGATGGTTCTTCATGCTGTGAGACCGAATGGAACTAAGTGACGTCTACCGGGGCAAGCGCAGGAGGTCGAGCACAGGAAACGGAGCTAAAACAAGGTCTATGGACCAATTATGAACGTGAGTTCAACTAAAGTGATTGGTTAAAGTGAAAAAGAAAGCTCCCCACCCACGCGGAACAGAAAGTGAGGCGAGCGGGGGCGGGACGCCTCCCATGCGCATAAACCTTTAAGCGAATCGGAGGGGGGGAGCAGAAGAGAAATCAGTTATAACTGTAGAGAGAGACTTACCAAGGCGAGTTTGAGCGTTTAAGTGCATATTCAGAGACTTTCAAAACTTTTGCAAAAGTAAACAATCCAAAAAGATGGCGGGGAAGAGGACGGAGAAAGAGAAACTGTTAAAAGCAAAAGGAACTGAGAGTCCAAGGCCGGAAGCAACCAACGAGCTGGCAAAGACATTGGTGGAATCCATGCGCCCCCTGCTGGATCAGATGAATAATCTCAGGGAGCAGCTGTCAACAATGAATCGATGTATCACCACTCAGCAAACACAGTTGATCCACAGAGGATCCAATAGATATTGTTTACCTTGACTTCCAGAAAGCTTTTTGATAAAGTTCCTCATCAAAGGCTCCTAAGTAAGCTCAAAAATCATGGGATAAAAGGATCAAAAACTGGCTAATTAATAGAAAACAGAGAGTGAGTATAAATGGGCAATTTTCTCAGTGGAGGGTGGTAAGTAGTGGGGTACCGCAGGGATCAGTACCAGGTCCGATGCTTTTTAACTTGTTCATTAATGATTTGGAGATGGGAGTAAGCAGTGAAGTGGCTAAATTTGCGGATGATACAAAGTTGTTCAGGGTGGTGAAAACCAGTGAGGATTGTGAGGCACTCCAAGGGGATCTGTCAAGGATGGGCGAGTGGGTGTCAACATGGCAAATGGGGTTCAATGTGGCCAAGTGCAAGGTGATGCACATTGGAGCTAAAAATCCTAAATATAAATACACATTGATGGGGTCTGAACTGGCAGAGACTGATCAAGAGAGAGATCTTGGAGTTGTAGTGGATAACTCACTGAAAATGTCGAGACAGTGTGTGACTGCAATAAAGAAGGCCAATGCTATGCTGGGGATTATTAGGAAGGGTATTGAAAACAGATCAGCCAATATCATAATGCCCCTATATAAATCAATGGTGCAACCTCATTTGGAATACTGTGTGCAGTTCTGGTCACCACACCTTAAAAAGGATATTATAGCTTTGGAAAAAGTGCAGAAAAGGGCAACTCGAATGATCAAAGGGTTGGAACACTTTCCCTATGAGGAAAGGGCTTAGGGCTCTTTAGTTTGGAGAAACGACGACTGAGGGGAGACATGATTGAGGTTTATAAGATAATGCATGGGATAGAGCAGATTGAGAAAGAGGTACTTTTCTTCCTTTCTCACAATACAAGAACTCATGGGCACTCAATGAAATTGCTGAGTGGTCGGGTTAGAACGGATAAAAGGAAGTACTTCTTCACCCAAAGAGTGATTAACACATAGAATTCAGTGCCACAGGAGGTGGCGGTGGCTACAAGCATGGACGGCTTCAAAAGGGAATTAGATAAGCATATGGAGCAGAGGACCATCAGTGGCTATTAGCCACAAGGTATAGATAGGGGCTCTGGGGCAAGTGATGCTCTGTCTTCTTGGTGCTTGGGGGGGGCGGTCAACAGTGGGAGGGCTTCTAATGTCCTGATCCCACTGGTGGACCTCCTGATGGAACCTGGTATTTCTGGCCACTGTGTGACACAGAGTTTGGACTGGATGGGCCTTTAGCCTGATCCAACATTGGCATATCTTATATTCTTACAATCCCTTTCCCCTCCGCTCCCCACAGCAGACACCGTGTGAGGTAGGTGGGGCTGAGAGAGCTCTCTCAAGAACTGCCCTTGAGAGAACAGCTCTGAAAGAACTTATGACTGACCCAAGGTCACACCAACAGCTGCATGTGGAGGAGTGGGAAATCAAATTAATCTCCATTGAGGGACATTCTTCTAATATTCTAACATGTAACTGTGGTAAAAATGCACCTGTAGCACTTGTCAGTCTAAACTAACCCTGTATAAAGTGTTACCTGCACCTCTAGGTTCGTAATGGTCTGGTGAGTGCCCCTTACCAAGGCGGGTAGATTGTTTAAAGAAAGTTAGCTGGAGTGCAATACAAGGTTATTTAAACAATAAAACTGTTTATTAGCTAAAGACAAGTAAGGAATACAAAAAAAAGTAAACAGTCAGTGGTTAAATATACAGAACAAAGATTTCCCCATGCACAGAATCTTCTGGACTGGCCCAGAGAGATCACGAAAGACAAAGCCTTCCCTGTATCTCTGAGAGTCAGTGCTGAAATGAAGCGTCTTGCCTTCTTTTATACCGTATTGGTCCCATACATTTCGATAGAGCCATAGAAATTATAAACTGCATCAATTAATCTAACTGCCCTGGCAATGTGGGCCATTATGGCCTAGGAAATATTCCCACATTCCAGAGGCAATGGGGCTACCCTGATGCTTTTTGTAAAACAATGCAAGATAGCATTTAAATCTCTAAATGACAAAGACAAGAATGTTACAATTTCAGGATGTTCTTTGTTTCCTAGAAGCAAGGGAGCCAGTCAGGCACTGTCTGCTGCCTGGAGGTGTGATGTTGTTTCTGCATGTAGGCAAGCCTTTAGTAATGCAAACATTCTGGCTTCCTTGACTTAATGGCAGGTGCATACCAATCTTTTATTTCTAAATGTTTCCAAATTCTTTAGATTCATGAACAATGTAATGCAAATGTTGGTTCCTGTGTACATGATGGAGGAAAGATATCTCTTGAGACAAAGGCCTAGCAAAATCATGTTCACTGAGCTGCTAGCTGCTTGGAAAGTTACAGAAATAGAGGAGAGAAAAACACTATGATTTCTTTATAAAATTAACTGTATAAATGGGTTTTAAATTTTCTGAACCAACTATTTTATTTTTCTCACAACAGTAACTTTAGGCCAAATCCACCCAAAGTATTCAGACATCAGTTTTACAACAGTGTTATCTCCTAGAATCTACCATGCTTTTGGAAATAAGATGAAATGATTAGGTCTGACTCAGGTTATGAGACCTTGTTATGCAAAGAGGCTTTTATAGCCCTGTACAGATGACCCATCTGCGTGTTGACTGAATGTGGGGAAAGGGAGAGTGGGAGCAAGTGTGCTGGTCTTGACCCCTGCCTCCATGCGATTGCTGACTCATAAGCATGGCACCTATGTATAGAAAAAGTGTCCATGCATGCACTCCCTATCTGTGATCAGCAACATTCAGAAAGCAGTGTTGTTGAACAAGAAGCAGAAGAAGCAAGACTTCCTTCATGTGTTTTCATACGTTTGTGAATTCAACCAGGGACTAATGCCTGAGTAAGTGTGGGATTTAAATCACATGTTCTGCTGGTCTTCTGATGAATGTAATGTGAGATTTACACAATTCATGTAAAAATAAAAATCAAGTGTACACTGTAATATGGTTTCACTGTAAGTTGTAAGCAAGGCTTGTGTAAGCAACCTATAGGATTGGACCCTATGACTCCCTTACACAATTCATGTAAAAAAAAAAAATCAAGGGTACACTGTAATGTGTGTTGAAGGCTTGTAAGCAACTTATAGGATTGAATCCTAAGA